TCTGGGCGCTGTGCTTTGTGATGAGCAAGGACGGGTATGTAGGTTCATGTCTGAGCGAGTGCCTTCTGACTGCCTCATGTTTTTGAATCCGGCTAAGAAGAAGACGATAATCTTTGAATGTGAGTACGTTGCTGTCTGGTGTGCATTCGACTTGTGGAAACAATTCATTGCTGGGCAGCATGTAATCTTATTCATTGATAACAACGCCGTCAGGGACTCACTCATTAGCTGCCAGACCACTAGAGACATCGCGCACGGCGTAATGTCACGGATCTTAGATTTCGAGCTTAAGGCTAATCCTTTTCCGTGGTACGCCAGAGTACCCACAGAAAGCAACATAGCAGACGGGCCTTCTCGTGATGATTTAGCCCTACTCACACAGCTTGGTGCGCAACGTGACACTTGTCAGCTGCGGTCAGTCTTCAGTGGCCTGGGCTTTAAAGGGGGTGACGAAGGCTCAGGCAACTGAGGACCCCAGCTGGAAAAAGGAACGACAGCTTGTGTCAGAGTCACTGCGTGTTCAACGCGGCTTTGCACTTGAGCTTAACGTAACTGTCCGAAGGTAAGTTGCTTAAGAACTAGTGTTAAGTTGCAAGCCGGTCGAGCAAAGCGTTGATCTCGTGATATTTCGGTTCAGTTACATTGTGGCATTGCAGACACTTGTGATCATGGATGCTTTCTCAGGTTCTTTGACATATCCTCATGTGTTGTCACCCAAGATGTCTTCACATGTCTCTTGCTTCTCGAAAAATCTTGTCCCGCCCTCAGCCGCCCTGTTCGCAAGCACTTCGTGCATGCCAGACTGCATTTCGCACCAAGCCAGACCCGCAGCCTGACGAAGGCTCAGGCAACTGAAGACCCCAGCTGGAAAAAAGAGCGACAGCTTGTGTCACTGCATGTTCAACGCGGCTTTGCGCTTGAGCTTAAGGTTCTTTTTGGTTTTGGTTGTTCTTGTTGGTTTTGTGTTTTTGTTTTGATCTTAATCTCTACAATAGCTGACCTTCGCATTCTTGCGACTTCGGCAGCCCTTAAACCGACATTGTTCCGATTGGGTGTGCTTGTCGAAGGCCTTACAATGATGTAAAACACTATCCAAGGCCACACCTCAGACACACAGTCACGGACCTTTGCGTCTCTGGCAGCCAAGACTCGTGCCTTCCAAGCCCATGTCTCCAGATGGGGCCTAGCGCTCTTTGTTTTCCAAGGCCACTGATGTGTCAGGTTTTGTGAGTGTTCAGGTAGCGCCCTGTAAAGGCGTTGAAGAGTGACTTCTGCCCCTCCTTGGCGTGGTCATCCATCAGAATGGGCCAGTGACGCTGCCGTTTTGGATCGTCGAGCGTTGTGGTGGTTCCGTCCACCCTCTGAGTGGGCATCGGTGCCGCTCGATGGTCTGAATCCTGCTTGGTACCTGGGCAAGTTGCGGTCTTTGGCCTCTTGTGTCCTGCCCATGTGTGTTGTGTAGTTCCTTTTGCTGGCCTCCTCTGTGCTGTGGTTTCTTTAATGCCAATTGTGCTGAATCCCCTGTTTGCGGTCGGAGAATATTCTTTTTAAAGCCCGGTACCTTCCATTTTGTGAAATTGGGTGCACGTTCTGCCATCCCACCATTCAGCGATCCTTTGCATCTGGCAAAACGGCGGACCAAGTTGGTCAGCGCCAAAGCAATCTGAGTATGCAATCGTTGCGGTGGATGAATTCCACGTGTTGCAGGACTGGCATGTCCTCGTCCAGACTTTGGCTCAAGGAGCGGGATCAAAAGGGAAGCTGCCGCGTCCATGTTTTCACACAAACCGATTGCTTTTGATGCCATCAAAAGTTGAAACCAGTTTTGGCTTCCTGTTCAAAAATGAAAAGCCGACCAGCCCTGAAAACTGAAGCTGTGTGATGCGTGGCGCAGTCCACAGTGCGCGCAGATGAAAAAACCCAAAGCTCAAACCAGACATGGCTTTGTGGAAATTCTTGCAAATCTGTTGCTGGCTTGCTGGTCATGATCGATCCACTTTTGCTTGATTGGAGTCGCGTGTCAGTTGGTGTTTCAACGTTGCACGCAAGACGCGCTCAACCTGAAATGTGCCAACATGGCCGACGATCGACTGAGCCTCGAGGCGCAACAAGGAGCCTTTGGAGTTGCAGCTGCCGTGACCCTGATCACGCGTGCCACGATGGAACAAATTTTCGCCCTAATTCACACGGCGTTGGGCATGCAGCATTGCTGTGAGCTGGCAAAGTACCCACATACAAAAGCTGTCAAGCCAGCAACAGCTCAGGATGTCAGGGGGCGGAGGCTTGGGTTGGACACCCTCACAAATACCGATGTGCGTACAAGCGCAGGCGCAAAAACAATCAAAAACACAATGATTTTGCAAAACATGATGACCTATATTTTTTTTAGATACTCGTATGGGTGCACCCCTTCCTTTGAGATGGTTTCAGATGGCCACGCGGTGCGAGTTATGCAGCCCGAACAAATTTGCATTATTGGCATTTTTGTGTCTTGTTTGTAGTAACAACCTTTGGGGGCGTTTTGGTTCGAGGCAGCAAAACAATTCCGTTTTGTTTCAACAAGCAGCACTGAGTGAGCCAAATGGTGAAACGATCCGGTTCCTTCTTTATTGCCAACAATAGGCTGCCAGAAATTTGTTTCATTTCCAGGATACGTGATCACCCGTTTTGCAACCAGGGATGCTCGGATTTCCACAAAGTCAGTGGTTCCTGTTTGTTTGCGGAACAGTTTGTTAGGATTTAGTTTTCACACTACAAGTTGCAACTGCGTATATTTGTTTGTTGAGTTGACAAGGGTCAGTGCTTTGCGTTTGGGAACTGAGTCAGTCTTTGGTGTTTTGCGCGCAAGCCTGTGAATTGAGACGTTGGCCCGACATGGGGCACAATCTAGACGACATTTTGGCAATGAATGTGCTGAATGCTTGATGGCAAGGCGGTCGAAATCAGGTTGGGATGACATGTGAACATGTGTTTTGAACCTGAAATGAACTGCAGCTTAACTGGAAGCGAAGAAACATCATTGCTCTGAAACGGTCGTTTCGGGCCACTACGTCCATCAGTGGCAAACAAGCACAGTTTTTTCAAAAACTTTTAAACCGTTGTCATTGGCAGGTTGCCGCGACTTGCTTGCATTTGGACATTGACGGTGCTGAGTGAATCCAATTCACTAAATACCTGATGGATCAGTGGATCAGGTAGAAATTCTAAAGCAGTTCGTTTGTTTTGGATGATGATAAAAACAATGTAGTGCTAGCCAATTTGGCAGTTCATGCAGACACTAACCACAGAAACAAAATTGTAATACTTGCCCAATTGGAAACACAGATACTATTTGGAGACAATGTCGACTGTGCAAATAGTGCACACTCAAATGCTTTATTCTTTTGTATGTGAACATACATTTAGACAACTTGATTAAAAGATCTGAGGTGTACCGATTTGTCTTCAGCGTTGTGTCCATGTCTTACCAATATGAAATGCAGTCGTTGTTTTGACGTGTTTCGTGTTGCCAGAACGTTTCTCTATCTAACAACCACGTCGAACCAGGAAACACTATAGATCAGATGAGACCAAACATAAAGAGAAGCCTGCGCATGGATTCAGGCTGGAAACGATGGCTTTGCATCTCACTGGCGATCGTGGCCCTATTGATACTCGCTTCACGCGGCATCCTCTCCGGAGAAACTTGGACATTTGGTGGGTCTTGGAACTTGTTTCACTGAACACCAATCCCCAAACGCGGGCACTTTGTGGTCCACCCTTCTACTTGCCCAGCTTACGATGCTGAGTGCTGTGTTTTCAGCGCTTCCACCTTTTGTTACCAGCTGAGTGCACAAGGGTGCTGGCCAGGGTGTTGTCAGGGTCACTGCTACTTGGACACGGATTTTGTGCGGGGGGAGGGGGAACCCGCCGAAAGGCCCAGTCATAGCTGCTACTTGGAGAGTTCATGCTATGTACGGAACAGGGAATGCCTTGGCCTCGTGGTCTTTCGAGAAGGTCAATCCAAAAGCAATCCTGAGCGATCCGAGGCCTTCTTCACAGAGACGACGGTTGTGAGTACGCCAACCGGTGTGGCTGCCACAGGTGGTTCTCAAGGTGCTGAGGGTGTGACAGGTGCTGCGAAGAAGACGGAGACGGTGTCAATCAGCAATTCGCCTGTACGAGCAGTGCCTGATAAGGCGAGGGCGGCGCTCGGGCTGTCGTTTTCCGTGGTGCGTTGTTGGGGGACAAACAAGTTTGGGTGGAAGCACTTGGACTTTTGAACAAAGCACTTGGACGTTTTCTGTGGTAACTATCATTTATGAGCGTATGCAACAGTAGTTGACAGTAGTTCCTTTTCCTGCAAAGTGAAGATGGATTACATGTATATAAAGCGCTGTGCCTAGTGAACGCTCGCATGACAAGTACAAGACCATTTTGGCTGGACCACTGCTCTCTTGACAAGCTCTGGCTCTACCAGGAGACAGCAGGTGCTGAGGCATTCCCTGAGGACCCCATTCTTGGTGAGGCATCCCCTCTTCCTGAAAGGACGAGCAGGATCAGCACCGAAAGGACGAGCTCGATCGTCTCCCAAAAGCTGTAGACATGACTGGATGCCCCGAAGCAGCTCAAGCACTTAACTCTTGAGACCAATTCAAGAACAGTAACAAGGACATTACTACTAGTAACAAGAAACTACTAGCTTCTTGTTACTAGTAGTAATGCCCTTGTTACCAGTAGCGATGCACTTGTTACTAGTGCTTTTGAGACGGGCTCCTCCGATTTCACCGAGTCGCTGCCATTCCAAGGCCTTTGCAGCGGCCAAGGCCTGGCAGCTGCATGAGCTTCCCTTGGTGCCTGGCTGCGAAGGCTGCTGTAGCGAGGAGCTGGTGATGGACAATGGGTTATATACATCAATATCCTCCCACATGGATATCAGGCTATCAGGGACTTTTCTTCCCCGTGATCTACTGAGGTCTTTCTAAGCAAGTGCATCAGACACATCCTTACATATGGCCCTTATGGCTTATGGATCCCTTGGTAGCGCCGTTGTGGTGAGAGTGCAGGATGTGCGGAATGTTCCATGCTTGGATGTGGAGAAATGTGCTGAAGGTGGTCCTGTCAAAGGACATTCTGGTAGAGCATGGGCGGGTTGGATTGGAAGGACACCAAGAATAGGAGAAGAGACGTTGGGAAGAATGCAGAAGTTGTGTTGATTTGATGGTGTAAGTTGCGTGTTGGCAGCTTTGCTGCATGTACACTTTGCTGTTTTGTTGGAACATATCTTTGCCAAGCCTAGTGTGGTTCTGGTATGCGTTTTGTGAGGAAAGTATGCCTTGGTCTTGAGCCATTGGGGACGGCCCAGTGAAGGCATGCTAGGCTCCATCAAGTCCATGCGAGCAGCTGCAGACAAGATGGGGCAAACTGATTTGGTGATGGTACGCGGCTTGGGAGTCCCTTCTTTTCCAAGTCAGACATGTCCAATCTCATGTCCGCTGAATATCTCACACCCAGGTGTGAATCAAATACATTTCTGTTGAGGTGATGCTCAAATCAGATGCCAAACACATGACAGCCAAGATTGAGAAGCTCTTTCAAAAGTGGGAGCTCAAATTGCACACTGTTGATTGGGACGTGCCACCAAATATGAAGCATTATCCAAAGACCGCCTCTTGGATCTGAGAACGCGCTTCTTCTTCAGCGCTCCGTCTTGGGCCCTGATGGGCTTCAGACGGCCCGTGGGCTTCGTTTGGCTGGAAACGATGTCATTCTGTTGCTCCTAGTAGCTTCTTGTTCCTAGTAGTACGGCCAGGAGCCCCT